AACGTTAAAATCGTTGCGAATGTCGTTTAATGTTGTATGTATATAAGAATATACTAAGGTATTCTTTTCTTTTCTTTCAGTAAAACGTGTAATTATGTGTAGATAAACGCAGAAGTAAAGCTTTTGATCTGAATTCAAGTGTCTATTACTAGAGCCTGTGCTGCCCTCTATTGGCTACTTTATGAATTATTTTTATATTATCTTAATTTTAAGCCATAGAGAGACTGTTATAAACTGTTAACATACTTTTTACTGTTTAATATTTTCAGAAATCTTTGTCCACGTGCAGAGTAACAGCAACAACAAAACTAATGATAAAATAATGGTGAATTGTTAGAGTCAGTAATAATCTGTCATTCTTTTCAGATCTGCCAGTGGGCATAACAGACCAGTTTGATGAGAAGGACCTTTCCCCTCCTGTAAGTTCTGTTTTGTTAGTGTCTATTAGATATGGCATATGATATTCAACCCATTCCTGTATGACTAAGTTCAACACATGAATTCCTAGCAGAGGTGCATTTCTGCCTGACAAGGATTCATAATTATTAACCCATTAAGAGGATTATGATGTCCACAGGCCTTAATCTGCCCAAGGGCAAGCTAATAACTGGGTCAGAGGAAAGAGTGTAGTCATTGTTTCATCTCATTGAAAAATTTGGTATTAGTATTGATAAGAGCATAAGGTATAATAAATCTATTTCAAAATGAAATGCTCCCTAAAGCTTTTCTCTGATTGTGTTTATTCTGCAGAGTGAGAGTTTGTGTAAGAGTCTCTCAGCTCTCAGCTCTTCAGACAGTGAGACCATAGCGAAGACGAGTCCAGGGCTGGATTCAATCCCTCTCAGTGAGATAGATAAAGCAGCAGTGCTCACACTGATTAGAGAAGAGGTAACACAAGCATCTGTCTATACTGTTCGGAGTACTCGGTCCCGTTACAATGTACAGTACATGTAAACACATGTAAAACCATTAAATGACAAACAAATAAAATAAATACTGTAAAAAAAAGTTTGACTATTTATTGTACTTTTTGAATTGTATTTACTTTTAATTATTTGAATTAATTACTATTTGAATATTTTTTTACAAATGTAATTTGTATTACTAAATTTTAAATTTGAAATGTTTTTGTGTAAAATTGAAATTAAATTGAAAAGTGTGTCGACTTGTAATGGACTGTTTATAAAATTGCGTTTTTGTACCTGTAGATAATTGCCAAAGAGATTGAAGCCAATGAGTGGAAGAGGAAATATGAGGAGAGTAGACTGGAAGTTACTGAAATGAGGTACATCCTAATCTAGAACCCTTCCCAGAATGCACCGGGAAAGGTTTTATCCCCACACAAGTTTAATGCCCGCACAGTACAGTCTCAACAATGAAACATTCTAACATTATTTACTGATTTTAACCATAGGAAAATAGTGGATGAGTATGAGAAGACGGTAGCTCAAATGATAGGTGAGTGATCTACCTCTCAGAGCAGCTGTTCAATGAATTTCTGAATATAAATTTTATTTGGTATTTTTTGTCTGGAATTTTTCCCAATACAGAAGATGAGCAGCGAAAGAACATAGGATCTCAGAAAAGCGTCCACCAGTTAACCGTGGAGAGAGATCAAGCCCTCGCTGACCTCAACTCAGTGGAACGCTCGTTTTCCGACCTGTTCAGACGCTACGAAAACATGAAGACCGTTCTTGAGGGCTTTAAGAAGGTAAGACATCTTCTTTAATGTCTGAAATGCTGACTATATAAATGATTCCTCTGGACATATACAGATGGTTCTGCTGCTCTCTTGTCAGAATGAGGAAGTGCTAAAGAAGTGCGCTCAGGACTACCTCACACGCGTCAGGCAGGAGGAACAACGTTATCAGACCCTCAAAATCCACGCAGAGGAGAAACTTGACAAGTAAGGACGATATTTAGCATTAAAGTGATACATCAGTTTCCCGTCAGCATTTTTGATCTTTAATCTAATGTATTTTACACTATTGATTGATCTGTGATGTGTATGTTTTTGCAGAGCGAATGAGGAAATAGCTCAGGTGCGAACTAAGGCCAACGCAGAGAGCGTGGCACTGAACGCCAGCCTGAGAAAAGAGCAGATGAAGGTGGATTCCCTGGAGCGGGCAATCGAACCGAAGGTAAACTCTCACACATTCACCGTCACCCACAGCCGATGCAATATAACACATGCTGTAACATCAAATCAGCTTTTTAGTTTTCTAAGAAAGCATTATTTAAAATCCACATTATTATTTCCAGAATCAAGAGATTGAAGAGCTTACTAAGATTTGTGATGAGCTCATTGCAAAAATGGGCACCATGGACTAAGAGGAAGGAGAACCCACCCTGACCAAGAATGCCACTGGATTTTTTTTTTTTTTTTAGTTTTGGAAAGTCACTTTTCCATGGGTCTGGCTCAGGCACTGGAAGGAACAAGATATGAGCTGAAGAATCAAATAAAAGAGTCCCAAATGTTTTTACAGATTCATAAAGTGCTGATGTTGGACTTACACACCGATAAGTGGTGGAATAAAATGTTTCTTGAAGAGGGTGGGAAAAACCACACACATATCTCATTCTGATGACTTTCTGCTGGCTGTTATGGCAGCTGTGTGTATGAGTGTTTGGGAGAGCCCTCTGGGTGTGTGTTCAGGTGTAAAGGAACAGACATGGGATGAGGGTCATTGGCCTTGTTCATAGTTTACATGATCGCACTGCTGCTATTTATAATGGAGGGAGCGAATCATATTATTTGCAACTTTTTAGTTCCATTACTTGCATTGGAAAGTACTGTAACCTGTGTCATGTTTTAGTTATATATTAGAGCTCCTGATACAAGTTTAAGAAATATCCCGAGTTCAGTACAAGATCAGTTGACAGCACTGGTGGTGTGATGTTGATTACCATGAAAATTCATCTGTAAAAAAAAAAAAAAAACAAGCAAAAATCTGGGTTACAGTAAGGCACTTACTGTACAATGGAAGAGAATGTAAATATAAACATTACAATATTCACTAATTACAAGAAGTAAACAATATGCATGTTAACATGATTTTAGTGTGAAATTGGTTGCTAAGATTTTCTGTGTAAGGTTGAAAACAATTTTACTATTACGTTGACATGTCAGCATAAAGTCTTAAATCCTAAAACCAAAAAAGTATGACTTAAATCGCTTTAGAGCTCAAATAATACGCAAGCTTTAACAAAATAATTCATGAAAGTGCTTTTATTAAATTATGAGCTGAAAATTTCTTTTAAATCGTCCAAAAATTGCCCCAATCACTTTAATTGTAAGTGCCTCACCATCGACTGAATTTTTGCTTTTTTCTAAAGAAAAAGAGGGACGATTCAAAATTACATTTTAGTCAACGTTCTGCCACAAATGCTGTTGAGTTTAACTTGTACTGAACCTGGAATATTATTTCATTGAGTAGATTTTTGCATATTCAAAGTTTCTGTTGAAGAAACGGTTGTAGTTCCATCCATTGTTTTCTTACTCTTTGTGTGTTTAGGTGCCAAATTATCATAATTTATCATATTAAGCGAGCTCTGGTGTTACTAGATGTTCTGATGGGTAACTTATTTCTAGCCATGAGGTCATAATCATCCAATCAAATGCTTGCTTGCAAATTTTGACAACACAAAAGCAAACCTAACTGAAAGCACTTAAACTTTCTTTTATTAATGAATTATTCTGGTTTCAAAGTCTGCATGAAGTACAGAGTTTATCACAAGTTTACTCTGTGTTTTATTGTGCTGTGTCGACTGGACTGAATCATTTTCAAAACATTCAATGAAGTCATTTCAAGAATTGACAATCTTTTGCCAGACTTGCTAAAGTATGTGCCTAATGCTGAAGTGATGCTTTCTATTGGCTGTTGTTTCTTTTTTTACCCACAATTCCTTTGTGCTATCTTATGCAATATTTCAGCTCAGAATAACCAACTGCCAAATGAAACCGCTATCCTTGTGCCAAACATTAATGGGTCGTGTGGAGAAGTCGAGCCTGTAAATTGTCATGTTGTTTCAGGAGCGTGTCGGTGTTCTTTACAGTACTCACTGACCTGTGTATATTTTTATGAGAAGAATAATGCTCTTTTATTGTGTTATTAATGTTTGTAAAGTGGAAGAGAGAGAGAGAGAGAGAGTTGCACAGAAATCCAGTTGACTAATATATATTTTGTGCATAAATGCATTCTCTGAATAAAGTAAAAAAATTGCTTGATCCCACTGGTTTAGAATTTCAGATTTTGGTTAATAACACTTTACAATAAGGTTCCGTTTGTTAACATTAGTCAACGTGAACTAACAATAAAAAAAAAAATTCTAAAGCATTTATTAAAATCAAGTTGTTTCTCTTAATATTATTGAATGGATCTGAGATGAACATGAAGCAACAATTAACAGTTTGGTATTTTTATTAACTAACATTAACAAATATGAATAAATACTGTATAAATCTATTGCTCATTGTTAACTAATGGGACCTTATTGTAAACTGTCACCAAATATTGCAATAATTGAAAGAAGTGTTATAAGATGCAAAGATGCATGTGGCCGTAATAGTTTCAATGATTCTCACGTTGTGATTGTGTTGCATAGCTAATCTCTTCTTAAGAGGGATATCTGGTGACAGGGTAGACTGGATATTAATATGTGCACTCAATAAGAGATTGCCCCTATGTTGAGGACAGATATACTGCAATGAATTCAATCAAAACAGTGGTGTGCTGCAAATACACAAAATATGAAAATATACTGTACACATACTGTACACAGATAAAAAATAATAATGTAAAAATGTAAGTATAATTGATTTGCATAAGTCTTGCACTAAATTTTAAAAGGAAATCTGAATTAAAACTGTATTTTAATATCCAGATCATAAATCATTTCCCTTCTTTATTGGTGCAACCCCCTTCATCCTGCTTCTCCCCTCGTTTGCTGTTACTTGCGCAGATGCAGATGCGTTGTGCGTGTTAAGCCGGTGTAATGCTCATGTGATGGATGCTCACTGTAGGATTATGGAGAGGTGCTGAAGTGTTTTGTTGTTAAGACTTCCACACCGTCCCAGCACTTTTCTAATACAACCTCCTCAACATGAAGACTCTCCTCGCCGCGCTGGTCCTGTTCACTGCTGTGCTACACAGTGAGTATCTGCATAGTACCAAACAGATCCAAATAGTTTCATAGCACTTTATGGTTATTAATTTAATCCTGCAATTACTTTGAGTGATGATACTCCTGTAATCGAGATTTTACAAAAATACTTATAATAATGGTTTATAGCCTACTTTATTTTAAGGTGTCATTGTTACAGTGTAATTATACAATCAAATACTGAGTAATATTAATTAACAACATGCACCTTTTGGGGTTATTGGATGTAACTATGCATAATTTACTGTTATTACTAGAAGTACATATAACACTGTAAAATAGAGTGTTATCCAAGAATGGCAACATATTTTTTTGTCACACATGAGAAATCTGTGTATACATGTATACAAAAAGTGTATTATTAATAAGCTACTACTACTACTGTTGTTATTGTTTATAATAAATATGTATTAAATATGTAATAAGGATATAGCCTACTATAAATAAAATCAAAATTTTCTATAAATTTTTGCAACGAAGCAACAGTAATTATTAATATACAGCGGATAGCAAAACATAAATCATTTTATATTCCTACTGTCCTTGTGAAATGATTATTAGTATCTGTATAGAGTGTGAAGTTGTTTAATCTCAGATCAGCTGTGTTGTCTTGTCCGATGTGTGAAGGTGAGGGGTTGAAGTGTTACACCTGTGTAGCTACTAACCCGGACGAGTGTCACCGGCAGGGCTCGTCTGTGTGTCCTGCTCATACAGATGCCTGCTCTACCATCACAGGACCCAGTGAGTACATGCACACACTGAATACAGTGATTCATATTGCAATTCGCATGTTGACCACTTGGGGGTGACATCACTCTTGACCATGTCTGTGCTGTGTTTCAGTTTAATATAGAAGAGGAGACCGGGGCTAGTTGTTACACGTTTTTACGGTTTTTACTCTACTCCTCTGTGTGTGTGTGTGTGTGTGTGTGTGTGTATTTAAAGGCATTTTCTGTATAGACACAGACACAGGAATAGAATATTGGTTGTGACGCGAATCCACGATACACTATAATAAGTAATTGTCAAAATGGAACCTGCGATTAAACAGTAAAGATCAATGGCAGTTTTAGTCACATTTAAACATGAAAGAAAATAGTTTTAAAAAGATAAATCCTGTGTGTTAAAACTCGCGTAGCTGCTGGGAATCAGCGACTAAAACGTATAATGAAACATACAAACTATCAAAAAGGCCTATAGGTTTGACTTATAAATAATAATAAATGTTATAGGCTAGTTAAAGCATAAATACATTTCTGATTTGTAGTAAAACTGTGGTTATACAAATGGTAGTCAATATGCCAAAAAAACATGGTTACACGTTTACTATAATGTATATGGCTTGAAAATAAAACGTGAAATTTTCGTTTGGAAGACTGAATTCATAAAAATTATGCTGATTTAAGACTATGTTTGAAACCAATATACAAAACCACTGCTACAGAAAACAAACAGTTATGACTCAACCTGCAGTTAATGAGACACAACTCTTGTGACAACTAGCCCCCGGTCATCACTATTACATAATACTGTTTCTGCTGGATTGCACATACACTCAACCAAATGTGCAAACGAAACATGGATTATTTGACGCATCCTTCAGCAGTGTTTGGACTGAGCAGATGTTTTTTTTAAGTGTTGATTCGTGGTGCCACCATGTGTTTCCCTCACTGCAGACTCTGTGATGAAGTCATGCGCTTACAAGTCCTTCTGTGACAAGTCTCACATGAGCAATGGGGAGATGAAGCTGGAATGCTGCTTCAATGATGACTGTAACGGCCCTCACCAGTCCCAAAGCCATGGGGATCTCCACGACGCCGCCATGAGCCTGAGCTCCAGCCCTGTCCTGCTGCTGGGGGTCCTGCTACTTAGACTGGCTCTCAGTTCCCTGTAAACCTGAACACAGAGACCTTTAGTATATACATGTAAAATAAATAAATGAAGAATAAACGATGGAGTAAAGGCGTTAATAACTGATAGATGAGCTTTTGTCTGTTGGGCGGCAGCATAATCTGTGTGTGTTCTTGCTGTTACACCGCCCCCTGATAGCACACGTGCATCACGTGGACGTCTTTGACGTCTGCATTCACATCTGCAAGATGTATTTTTTAGAGTGTTTTCTCATCTGCGATACGTCTCTGCTAGGATGTTTCCTATCAGATGTCAAATAGACATTTAGAAAATGTCTTTAAGATGTTTATGATTTAGAATGAATGTAAAACTGACATCTTAAAGACGTCTATCAGATGTTTGTACACAGCAGATGCTAAGCGATCTTCAGCAGACATCTTGCAGACGTAGGCCTATGTGTGCTATCTGGCCTACAGGAGTTAAATAAACACTACTTAGATTTGGTGTTCATCTTTTTTATTTTCTGTTGTATATGAGCTCAAATGAGCATCTGCTAACTAATGAATAAATTAATAAATGACCAGTTAAAAATGTTGGTGGTGATCTCTCTCTGTCTGATTCTACTTAATATCTGTTCAGCTATCAGTACCTCTGTCTGTCTGTTTCCACTAACCATGGAAAAGTAAGCATTGCTGGTGCATGTGAATCCGCACGCAGGGCTTCAGGGCATCCCCAGCTGAATGACGTCAGTCATGTGCAGCGGACACATGGGACGTCTGTAACTTTCATAATGTGGTAGTGATGGCTGGTTTCAGATTGCAGTGCTGGTGGGAGGCGGTGAAGCGCGTGAACTCGTTTAAAAGTGTTGCAGGATACAGAGAGTCAGCGCTGCTGCATCCAGCTGCGGGTGTAACTTGGAAGACACACTTCACAGGAACAACACTGTTACTTCACAAGATCAACGTTTTCCGAGGTACGTTTTTGACGCCAATCAGAAATTATATGTAGTATTCAATAATTTATCATTGAATCGAGTTGTGTTTAAAACGCTAATATACATGGGAGTTGTTCTGTTGAATGTCTTTAATAAAATGCCTATGGTTTTTGATATAGCCGATGTAAACCGCTGTAAATATAGGCTAAATATTGAAAAAAATCTTTTAAAAATGTAGTGTCGTGTCCGTACAAATGCACTCGTTGTATTTACATTGATTGTGAAATAAATACTGATGTAAAAAATACAGGCGATGTTAAGTGATGTAACCACGTATACAAATTTATTACAAAGGTATCACAAATTTTCTTGCTTCTTAAATATATATGATTGTGCAAAACATAACTTGTGCACACAGTTTAAACAATTTTCATATACATATTGAAGAATACATGTTGGAATTAAAATTACACTTTATTAACTGCTTATTCCAAAATTTTATCTGTGGACAGTTATACCACCTATACATTTATATATATATATATATATAGCAATTAATCGATTTGACAGCACTACAATGTATATGAACTTTTCTCTGAATAGCATAATTGCATCAAAGACAATTCATCTGTAATGAATGAATAAGGAAATCAATCATACACACACAGGAAGTAAATCTAAGGAAGTTCTCAAACTACCAAATTAGATGAAGCTTGCTCTGCAGCATTTATCTTGCATTGTTGGGACAGTGATAATGACAACATGTTGAAGTCTCTTTAAATTAATGCAGTGACTCACTGACAAGGCAGCTTTTAGTGATTTGGGAACAGAATCCCTTAGGGAACGGGATTTTCTCAGTCAGGAAATGGGATATTCTGTTACCGATGCTATGAGTGTCTGGAGGAGTGTACTGAACGTTAATTCAGCAACTAATCTTAACATCATGATAACATCTTGGTTACCCCACATAAAACGCATGAGTATGCATGTGAATAAAACATGCATCTTAACTGTTTAGATGTCTACTTTTGTGAAAATGTCCACTTTGTGGTTTTGGCAGTTAGATGTGTATGAACAGAGGGGGTTGTTATGTCATATGTGCTGGCGTTTCTATAAACTCAAACATCCTGGAAACCATTTGGCTGCCATTCATTGATAGTTCTTGTGTAAATGCTGAGCTCTCTATTTTGGATGCAGAATTAATGTAGATAGATGTTTTTTAATGGAGTAGACATACATGCCTTTGAGAGACATCATTAATGTCGTTATCATCAGTGTCAATTATTGTAGGTCTTGTTCCTACAAACCACTAATTGCCAGTTTGGAATGAGTGCTGGAAAAAGTAAACACCCCAGTCATCTGTCTGCTGTAGCCTTAAGATTTGAGGAATGGTGGGGGCAGGACTGACATGGACAGACGGAGTTCAGAATGGTCATACACCTTGACCTCTTTTGAAGACCTCAAATGCCTTATTTCTGAAAGATTTAATCATTTTTATATATTTATTTATTTAGCTGATATCCGATTTAACTAGAAATGGTTTTCAAATGAATCATTTCACCAAATAAATTGAATTAGGTTCATGCATGTTACATTGTTAATTTTGTGTTGTTTAATGCTCTCACAGGTGAAAGTTTAGCCATGGCGTTCTCTTCTGCATTGTGCATCTTCAGTCTCTTGGCTTTGGTTCAGGGCCAATCTGAATCCCAGCAACCCAAGATTCAACTCCGCCTAGCCGGTGACAAACGCAAGCATTACGAGGGTCGTCTGGAGGTCTTCTACAACAACGAATGGGGGACTATCTGTGATGATGACTTCTCAATCGAAGCCGCTCATGTTGCATGTAGGGAGCTTGGCTACCTGGGTGCTGTGGCTTGGTCCCCATCTGCAAAGTTTGGACAAGGAGAAGGTAGGCGAGAATTCTGATGGCTTATTATAAGCTTATAGTCCATTGAAAGATCCACTATGTGCCTATATTCTTGGATTACATTGCTAATCCATCATGTTTTAGTCATTAGCTGTAATTGATACCAGTCAGTCAGACAGTCAAAAAAGTATGGAAACAAGATTCAAAGTCAAGATCAGACGTAATCTCATCTCTCTGTCTATTTACAATAGTGATGATTTAAGACTATGTTTGAAATATGATGATTTGTCTCAATAAATCTGTCCAAAGATTGTAAATCAGTGGGTGGTTATTATTGAGCCCTATGGGAAGAATAACCACTGGTCTTCCACTCTTATTCCACTTTCCACCGAGTAAGCAAAATCATATGCAGCATGTAATGCATAGTGAAGGGAAATTCTGGAAGGGTTCATATTTGATAACTTTATATTGAATCAAAGGGAGTTAACAAAATCTAGACAGACTAGGCTGGTTTAAGCTGGTTTACCAAGGAGGTTTTGCTGTGCTGGTGCTACAAGCAGGAATAATTCACCCAAATAAGAAAATTCTGTCTTCATTCACTTCAAAGATCCATGACATTTTTGAGAAATTTTAAAGACCGAATTGAGATACTTCAAAAAAAACATCATAAAAAACTTTTTCAAAGTTGATCTTGAGAACCAAAATCAGTCCATTTCATCAGCAGATTCACTGAAAAGATTTAAGGCTGGAATACAAAACATAACTTTTAAAATCTGAACAGATTTTAAAACGTTAGACATCATACACTTACTGACTTTGTAATAGTCACAGAGGAAAACTTGCCATCATAGACTAAACGACTGGGGATCATACACGACCAGACTTAAAGTCCTTATGTTCACAACAAAGTCATGCAGAAACGTGCGCCTTGTTGCTAGGAGACGCGTGACAAATTAAAACAATAGGGCCTGGTTTCACAGACAGGGCTTAGATTAAGCCAGGATTAGGCCATAGTTCAATTAGGACATTTAAGTAGTTTTTATAAACGTGCCTTAGAAATAAACATTACTGGTTTGCATCTTTTAAGACATCTTTTTTTGACATATTTTAAGATATGTCAGTGCAAGTTTCTTTCAGCCTAGACATGCATTTTAGTCTGGGACTAGGCCTAAGCATTTTCTTTGAAACCGGGGGTATTTGCTCTAAAATAGGCTGAAAATATCAAACATGTTTGATATCCTCCGACTGGATGGATTCATAGTCTGACGCAGAAAAAATCGGAGTCTGTGACCATCATACACTACACGATTTTCTATGAAATCTTTCAACTCAATTCTGCAGACTGGCTCTGACTTTCAGCAATTAGCATCAACTTGTTCAGACTGTAAATCGGGGCAAAAGTCATGTAGTCTATTCCAGCCTTAAAAGAACAATTCATGCAGATGTCACGATTTTAAGTGAACTTTTGAATTATTTTGGTTTGACTGGTCTGACATTCAGAACACTTGGAATATAGCACACAAGTTGTGTGAACATCTTTAATGATACTTTTATGGTGATTTTTAGAGAATATTCTTCAAAAACTCACAGTTTTTAAGGTCATACAGGTTTTGAAATAGATAAGGTAGAGTAACAGAGTACATTTTGAGAGTTGAACTGTTCCTTTAAGTGAATTAAGAAGCCTGGTAGCAACACCAACGCATCTTCCAATACACAACATCTGCTGGTGATTGACAAAACCAACAATTGTTCTTTGTTCCACAGGACGCATTTGGCTGGACAACGTCCATTGCACAGGAGGAGAGAAATCTTTAGCCGAATGCCCCTCAAATGGCGTTGGGGTGTCAGACTGCCGACACAGCGAGGATGTTGGGGTGATTTGCAATCAGAAGCGCATCCCTGGCCACAGGTTCATCAATACCATGAACAACAATGTTGAGGTACGTCAACTCTAGGTTCATGTAATGCTAGTTTATTAACCCAACTGAGGTTGACAGTGCTTAGTCACTGGGGATTTTACTGATATGCAGTGCAGATGCAAGTTCAGAGCTGGTAAACCAGGCCTGAGGGTCTGCTGGTGGTAATTGGGTTTAAGAAAGACCCAGATATGCCTTTGAAATGACTTTTTAGGAGTTGCAGAGTTCAAAGAATGACAATGTGCTCCAAAACCCACACTGTATCATCAGAACCACAGAGTTTCCCCATCAGAAGAGCCAAGAATCCTATCCAGAACCAGTCTTAGACAAATGACCACATTTCTTTGTCATATCCGGAAATTCAGTTTTGAGTGGAGGTTCTGCTTTTTCTCCCTTCTTGGTGAACATTCCCAGTCACTTTATCTCTTGGATAAAAGGAAGTTAAGGTCTGTTACCACAGGTCACACATTCCTCTACAAAGTTTGCTGCTCTAGAATAGTTTATTAGCATTCAATTCTCCTTTTATGACGTGCCAGCTGTCCCCTATGTTGCTTCAAAGGTCTGTGCCAGAATCACCGATATTTGTATATTTGCCATGTTACTATGGCAACCAAGGTAAGCAGGTTTAAAGATGGACCTTTGAGAGAGATCAAAGAGCCTATGGTGTGCTTTTCCATTTCCACGACCCCAAGATTGAATGATTTAATGACTTTACCACATTGTGCGTCTCTCCCCCGATCCTTCCCGTCCCTGAGACGTTCCCCCACTCCTCTGATGCCTTCTTTGGGAATCGCTGACTAATGAAAGGAATGATTTCAAAATGGAATCCCACCCATTAAATGTGAATTCTTTAATTGTGAGAAGCAGAAACACTGTTGGTTAATAGATTTCAATGAAGGACACTGTTTTTCTGGCCTGGTATGAAAAATATCAGCCGTCAGGTTCAACTTCCTATGATGTCACCAGTCAGGCGACAGTCTGTGAATTAATGTGAGAGGTTGTTAGCTATTGGTAGGTGTAATCGTGACTTTTCCCTGCATCACATACCAGAAGTCTGAGAAACAGGCTCTCCTCTGTGAAGCTCATATGAGGGAATTCTCAAACACCAGTACGGCAGACACTCAGATTCCTCAGGCTTCCTTCCAGCGCCAATGTTTTTATAAGCAAGAGTCCATCTTTTTCTCATCAATGGACAATTTGATGTCAGAAATAACAAAGGGTAGTTAAAACTGGCAGCCAAACAGTGTTAAATTCTTAGCGCATACAGCTGGACACAAATTTATTGTCTAAACTAATAAGACAGGCTCTCAGAACAGACAGCAGAGGTAAATGAATGAGTGAATTGTTTGTTTTGTATTCTTGTAAACATTCAGTGGAACAGAAGAACAATTTATTGTAATCAAATGAATCACCACCACACACAATCTGCCACCACACATGGAAACAATCGGAGGTCCAAAGAGTGGTTAGCAAAGGTTCAGAGCATGCAAACTCTTTGCTTGGTTTGAGTTCAAGAAAATGCTGCAATTAATCAGCTAATGATTATTTAACTTATTTGCATGTTTGTCTACAACGGATGTTTCCTACCAACACAACTTCATATTCTTGGTATATACAGGACATGCAGATGAGAATATGCAACTTGCTAAGATACAATACGACCTGACATGAAATTCATCAGATGTTTAGCAGTTCTCAGGACTGAACTTTAGAACATTGTAAGGTCATGTTCATGAGGCAAAAAGACAGGACCTGAAGAAGATTAAATGCTTATAATGATTTGTACTCTGCTTGTCATGGTGATTGATTGGAATATATATTCACCTCCAGCCAAAGCATGCTCTTAAGTCAACAAGCCAGACCAACAGAATGAACCAGTAGTGAACCTGCATGCTAAATGTAGCCTGAAGAGGTCAAAGGTCAGGACTTTCCACCAGGCGTAGAGGTGTAGACTTTCTCTCACATTCCGTTTGCAACAAAATTAGGAAACTCAATATACATTTTTTAGCTTTTTTTGGGGGGGAATATCACACATGTACCTGATACCTGATAGCTATTACTGAAATAAGTATCTAGAGAACTGTTCCCAGATAGCACACGTACATCTGCAAGATGCTGTGTACAAACATCTCATAGATGTCTGTAAGATGTCAGTTTTACATACATTCTAAATAATAAACATCTTAAAGACATCTTCTAAACGTCTATTTGACATCTGATAGGAAACGTCCTAGACGTATTGCAGATGTCAAATGCAGACGTCAAATAGACATCTCTGTGATGTACGTGTGCTATCAGGGTTTGGACAAAAAATTTGGACACTCATCTTGAAAGATCTCTGCCAATTGTGTGAGTTTGAGACCGGACTACCTGTTTGTCCAAACAATGCAATTCCATTTAGTACCACTGGTGCAAAAGAAATTGCTCACAGAACCTGTAGAAGCTACTTTTGTTATAGTCTAGACCAGCTTATTCGAGTCTAAATCCAGACAGAGAACTGAGTGGGTTGAGTCAGAGTCAAGGTCAAGAACAGAAGAGGGTTGAGTCTGAGTCTGAAAGGTTCAGACAGTGTAAAAATGCTTATGTAGCCGATGTTATGAAGTAGTTGAGTCCAAATGCTCCTGAGTCCATGACAAGACGAAGACCATGAAAATATGGTCTTGGATTTGGAATCGAGTCCAAGAAATTTAAAGTCAAATCCACCAGTGTAAGTGATTGGTTGTCAGGGACAATGGTCATATATACGATTTTATTATACAAAAATATTTGACCGCCGAATATTGTCATATCCGACTCATGTACTCTAGATAGTTACAAGATCTATTGCTACATTGACTTTTAAATACATTTACATATATTGCTACATTAAAGGCACAATATGTAAGATTTTTTTTAATTAAAATATCCAAAAACCACTAGAACAGTGTTATATATTTTGCTGACTTGTGTACTTACATTATCCCAAATGTTTCGAAGAATGTTTAAATCCAGAGAAATAAGCAATTTTAACTAGTGACAAAAACTTACATGTTGTGCCTTTAAGTTATAATGTGAAGACTCATATGTTCTCCCAGAACCCAAAACTTGTTCTGACTAGTGTCTTTGTCTGCAAGGTGTTTAGAACTACCCTTGCCTTATGGGAAGAATCTCTAGGATTGAACGTAAATATGCCCAGAGATGCTCTGTGGAATGAGAGTTCAGGGGTCACATCAAGCTTGAGCGTTTCCTTGGAACCGGCTTGTTCATGGGACCCTTGTGACCTGTTACTACTGCTGAGTTCACCATTAATTCTGTCATGCTTTGTTTCTTGTGCTCCCTCTCTTTTTCCTTCATGCACAACTTCAGAGTTGTAAGTGGTGCCCTGACACAAAGATGACCCTAAAGACAAAAGCCGGTCTAAAAATGGCATTCCTCACAGACAGGCTGGCTTTGGAGTGGTGGTGTGAATATCTTCTGCAAGTTCTGTGTGTGGTGTTTGAGAGTGTCGGAATGAAAAAAAAACTTCCTGCTTTTTGGGGGGTGGGAATGATAGTTTGTACATATGTTCAGCTTTGTAGTGGTGGAAGGAATCCAGATGTTTTCCGTGTAACCTCTTTCATGGAGATTACTTCAGCAAGAATCAGTATACCAGCTGGATTCATCCACCCCTCACATTTCCCCCCTTTATCCTTTATTTCCTCAAAAAGTGCCTAAAATTCCCTCGAACGTTCCTCAAAACCACAAACCTGCACAATCAACAAATGTTTTCACTCCGAGTCCCTGGAACAGGCACGTGGATGACCAACGTGAAACACGAGGCAGGAAGTGAATAAGAAAGGAGATTTTGACTGCACGACTGTACCAGACACCGTCACCTCTCCCTTGCCCACATCGAGAAGCCCTACGGAGGAACATTAACAGCATGTAAATATTTTGATATCTGGATTCCATGAACGTGAAAAGAAGGTGGTTCTGTCCCAGCTGGCACCTCAGCTACTGAGGAATGTCTGGACTAGGAGGGGCTTCCCCTCGTGCAGTCTCACTGCTACCGTTTCCATCGTTTACACATGGACCCCTCGCTGTTAAATGCAGTCAGATATGGGAATGGTTTCTCACTTATATGAATGACTGTAAGTGCATATGTCTCGGACATACTGGTCTATATGAGCTGACAGACAGCATTTACAGTCTCAAAGATCTCTTTGTCAGGTCTCATTCCTAAAAAAAAGCCCACACGTCATGAAGTAAAGGTGATGTGACTGAATGAACGATGACGTCTATTTGGTTACACATACACATTTAGATTATTAACAGTGATTTAATCTGATAAACCTCTTTAAAAATGTAGTGCTGTAGTGACATATTGCAGAATAGCAAAAAAATGTTTTTTTTAGGCAGCGTTTGCGCCTGAAGGTACCTCACGAAACTTATTTTGGACAGACTTCTGATAGAGATTCACTTTGACCTGAACTGCAATCCTTGATGGCTAATGGGTTTCTGGCACTATTCAGTATTTTAATATGTTATTTCCTGCAATGTCAGACATCTTTTTAACTTCTTGCGTGAGGTGAAGAGCACTGTTGGAAGCAGTTGCTTGCTTCATTGAATTTATTTCATTTTATCTGTGTTCACTGTGAATCGGACATAAGACCTTGAGCTACAGGAACACAAAAATACCTTTCATGTGAATTCAACGTGTTTTACGGTTAAGTGAGCTCAATAGGGTCAGTTTTCTTTTGCCTCTCTAGAAATTTCCCCAAAACAAAACTTCGGATTTGAAGTATTGATGGCTCCTGTCGAACTTGTCATCCTATCAGTCAGGCAGATTGCAACATTGCCTTCATTGTTGGTCACTGCATGTCGAGTCATGGACCAGACATTCTTCAAGCTTCACAAGGCACAAATTGTTGGTTCAAATATAATGAACAGAGAACATTCCTTGTTAGCCTGATACTTTATCCCTTAAAGGGTGCTTGATGTAATACCCAACACCTGCAAGGCATGTTTTGTATATATAAATATGAGGGTTTATGAACTGTATTTTCCATCAGCAAGATCAAATGTACCTGTGCCATCATAGTAGATCAACCTCTGAATTTCGTATGTGGGCAAAACCTGAGATTGATCAAACAGGGTGGCTCTTTGGTATAAAAATATGCAGTGGAAGGTGTCTGGTCTGATTTCTTTCATACTATCAGGCAACAGGCGCAGGCTCTTCCTCACATCTGGCTGGATGACCCCGGTTCACACCCTCAGCTTCAACACTCAGCTCTTTGGTTTCCTCCAGACTTCCAGTGCTTAAGCAAACAGTGATGTGTCTGACTCGAGAGCCCACTTAAACCGTACCCAACCCATCGGTCTGGCCTTTATATAGTAATATTTACATTTAACATTTCTGCTCACTCTGCGTCTCCATGTGAGGCCTCCACACTCCTTTGGCTTTATCCCATTGGCCAACTTTCTCTCCCTCTTTTCTTTCATGCACACACGTGCACATTAAATTAGAAGCCACAGTCTTCATCTTATGTTTACCGTGGTCAGTTGAAACATGTCTGGTAACCACCTCCCCGTTAGTAATACAACATTACTGGGTTTACACATCTAAAACATTCCATTCAGTTGATATCATGGCAAACAGCCCTCGTGAGGGCACATGTGAGGGTATTTTTTTTGAGCTAACAAAGATACTTTTGAATTTTATAACAGTTAATATTCCTCCAAGCTATAAGATTCCTGTAACTTAATGGATTAGATGACAGATTCATGTGTTACTGTAATGAAAGTTCATGAAGGTCGAATATAGCTCGTCAAAATCTAGGATGACCACCGTAAGACTGGTTAAGAATGTTTTGAGAGATATTAAAGTGAGGTTTTTGGTCAAATTCCAACTTTGGCCTTGTCTTATAAACTGTATCTGGTCAGCTTTGTCAAATGTGAGTCATGAATTATCTGGCTCCTCGGTGTGGCCCTCAGATTCCACCCTGAATGAGTAGAAGACACTCTTCTGATTAAAACAGTGACTAGAACATCTCCAGAACTTTCCCCAAGTAATTTACTGCTACACGAGAAAGTGACCTGATCCATTCTGGGAATATTGACTGATAAAGTGCTCTTTTGTTTTTTTCCTCACCAGACTCTTGAAGAACGGGTGGAAGAAATCCGTATAAGACCCATTTCATCCCATCTCAAGCGCATACCCGTCACGGAAGGCTATGTGGAGATTAAGGACCGGGGCAAATGGAGGCAGATCTGCGATGAGCAGTGGACCCACTTGAACAGCCGAGTCACCTGTGGAATGTACGGATTCCCCGGAGAGAAGAAGTACAACAACAAAGTCTACAAGTAAGAAAAAGTCCCCACTGTTTTGCTTTGTATGACAAAAGACCATGAGTTAAACATGAATTTGATCCCTTTGAAAAAAGGCCTTTGTGATAGGATGCAATAAAAATTAAGAAAAAACAGACAAGAAAGAAAGCAGACACGCACAGAGATTTTAGGGTTTCCCCAAAAGTAACATCAACTTTGTAAAGTTTAAAGTTACCATGCAACAAGAGTTATTTAGTCCTCAGTTGTGTGTGAACGCCTCCCCAAGTGAATCATGGCCAGATTGTTTCCCAACATAATTCTTGGCCGTTTCCCATCTAGCAGAGAACATTGTGTTTCCACTGTAACTCTGTTAAGGACATTTTATTGTAAAACTGCCTAGAAATTATCACTTGAGTGTGTTTTAACCACATTTGCACACTAAAACACACTATAACACACGAAAGTTCATAGCCAGCGTCTATATTTTTGTATACGTTTCTAAAAATAAAACATTCCAGGAAATGTTCAGAAAATGTTTGGTTTTTTACATCTATTCATGGGTTTATTTCTAAACTAAGCAACATACTAAAGAAAGTATTTAAAGATGAGGTTTGTCTATGTTTGTTTGTTTGTTGGAACATTTCATAAAGGTCCAGTTTCTAAGCCACTGGCCACGTGACCTCACTTTTCCTCAGTGGCAGTCCATTTATGTTAAGTCTGGGCCTTTAATGCCATTGAGAAATGCAGTTTTGCAATGAGTAGGATATCATAAATGGCATTGCCTTACATCACAGTCAACGTTTAGTACCAAAAATGCAACTGAGATATCAGGAAATGCTCACAGATTTGAACAGACTTATATTGAACTCAGAACATGCTGTGCTCATTAAATTAGTGTTTAATGATTTCCTAATCTGGAGGAAAGGAAATCTTCAGGCTTCACAGATTGTTTGAGTCAAGATGTTTGGTGACCCTTGCTGAACTAGGATTTTCTCTGTACTGTGGAATCATTGGAAATGTCATGTTTTCTTGAGTTAGCACAGCAGTACTGCCACAGGCAATGTCCCTATAGTAATCATAACACGTCCCTCTGAATTATGGTTGTGATATCCTCCTAAACAAGAAGTAAATATCTGAAATATATATGTAATTCCATTATTAATTATTTTGTAGCATCTGAAATATGTATTTAATTCCATTATTAATTGTTTTGTAGCACAACTGATCTTTATCCGTGGCTCTGTTTCACAGATCACTGTCCATGCGTAAGAAAAAGAACTACTGGGGTTTCTCAGTGAACTGCACAGGAAATGAAGCCCACCTGTCCAGCTGTAGGCTGGGCAAAGCCCTGGAGCCCAAGCGGAACGGCACATGTGGACGTGGCCTGCCTGTGGTGGTCAGCTGTGTGCCTGGAAGAGCTTTTGCCTCCTCATCTTCCACTGGCTTCCGCAAGGCTTACAGACCAGAGGTTGGTAGTGTAATCACTAGCACTGCTTAGCATCCAAATAAGGAGTGACGCTGAAATAAAAATCGTTTTCCTAAGAATCTACAGTGTCATCAGCAAAAGAAAAGTCATTTATGATTGCCTTTGATAAGGCGTTCTGGATAGCTTTGGGCTCACAGACAGACAGTTGATAAACAAGCCATAATATACTATTTAAAAGTATATTAAAGTACTATTTAAAAGTATATTATGGCCTTAGACTTTCTAGAACATATCCAACTGGTAAAAGAGGTAATAGAAAATAGTAATTCATGGCATGTACAATCAACAGCACATGATGTTAGCATTAGCAGTCTCATGATTTGAAGGCGCTAGTGCTTCTCAACAACAACAAAAAGAGTTACGATAGAATGAAAACAGCATTCCTAAGAATCTACAGTGCCAGCAGGAACAGAAAATGTATTTCTAATCATCTTTCATGAGGGTTTTCCTTATGAACCAGTTAGCATTGGGCTCAGTCAATCACATGTTTATACTGATAAACAACCCTTATAAAAATTAACCATGGTTTTATTGTAGTAAAAGTGTAGTGACCATGATTTTTTGCCGTATTGATTACCATTTCTATAACCACAGTTTTACTACAAATACCATGATTAAACTATGGTTAGTGTAGCAAAACCATGGTTAATTATGGTAATTAATAATTATGGTAATTAATCATGGTTTTTTGGTTTTATTTGTAGTAAAACCATGGTTCATTTTCATAAGGGAAGCAACAATATTGTACTATTTTATAGTATATTATGGCCTTAAACTTCTGTAGAAGGCTGAATGTTGAATGCTAGGTTTACAGTCCCTCTCAGAGATGATTTCTGGTTGTGGAATGTTTGGCGAGTCTGTTTTCCCTCATCTGTTGGCCTCTTACTCACATTTCTGGAAAGAATTGCTTCCTCTTCCATTATTTTTCCTGTGGATCATCATGTTTGTACAGCCTGGATATCATAGTGACACTTCAGTCATGTAGTACATTAAATCACATTTTCTTTAAAAAAAAAAAAAAGATTGCACAATATTGAAACATGCTCCAGACATCTAAAGTGAGTGTGTTTATATAAGGGATGGGAAAAAATGTATGCGAAAGGCTGAATCACCTGGATCAGATTCATATACAGAGAGAGCTAGACTGAACAAACACAGGTCACTGAGGGTGTGTGGATTGATCATCCTGCTAATTTCTTCCGTCTGATTTTGCAGCAACCCTTGGTTCGTCTGCGGGGAGGTGCGAATATCGGTGAAGGGAGAGTGGAAGTGCTGAAGAATGGAGTTTGGGGAACGGTCTGCGATGATAACTGGAACCTGAGGGCTGCCACCATCGTGTGTCGAGAGTTGGGCTTTGGGAGCGCCAAAGAGGCTCTCACTGGAGCGAAGTTAGGACAAGGTTAGTTAATACATTATATCAGTGGTTCGAAACAAATGGATCATGGGGAGAGTTGGGAGTCAATCCTATACAAATCAATTATTTGATTGAGGAATTGAGAATCAAGAGTCGACTCCATTACCTTGATTTCCAAACTACTACAAGTCTTAGAAGAACCTTAAAGGGTTAGTTCACCCAAAAATTCTGTCATTAATTACTCACCCTCATGTCAAAAGCCGTAAGACCTCCGTTTATCTTCGGAACACAAATTAAGATATTTTTGATGCATTCTGACATCTCTCTGACCCTCCCATAGACGGCAAGGGTACTACCACGATCAACGTCCAGAAATGTAGCAACGAGATCGGTAGAGTGACGCGGAGGAGACGAATTGTTGAATAAAGTAATTATTTTTTTCATTTTGCACACAAAAAGTATTCTCATAGCTTCGTAATATAACGATTTATCGAACTTAAAATCTAGAATTGATTCCAAAAAGTTGGAATTAAACAGCTCTAGGCGCAGGTCTGTACTGATGGGGGTTAAAAAAATGCTAAATGCAAATAATAAAATGCAACTAACCAAATAATAATGCATAGCTTATATATCACAACTGGCTTTTGGAAAGAAAATAATGATGTATTGTATACCCATTAAGCAGGAAGCAAAAATCAGTCACACATTGTTCTAAAACAGCAGCATCGACGGCAGCCTCTGTCTCTGGCATTCATCAGACGTTCATGGATCACTGCTCTTTACTAAAGTGTCTTTGATCAGGCGCATGAGAGGCAGATTTTTTGAGCATTCTTTAGCAAGGAGAGTCATGCATAACGAAACATCTGTGCTCCAACTGCATGTGGAGATAGTTGCTCCTCAGCTGGTGTTTGGACAGGTTCTTAAAGTAATGGATGTTTAAAATCCATTTTCAAAGGACTTGCTGAGAGATGACGTGCACATCTAGAATTACTTAAAACATGCGCACTTGTCTTTTATTCCATATGCATACTGTAAGGATTCACTGCAATCACAATGAAATTAAGATGATCATTTTGGTAGTCTATTAAATATAGGAAACTCTGTAGGAAATATCCAACAGGGAAAATATTTACTAATTTCTGAAAAAATATATATTTAGCAGTAAATTTCGAGATGAGAACAATGCTTTCTTCTTTCTCCAAGAGGGTTTATTGACTAATGTGGCATAGAAATTAGCTGTCAATCTTCAAACTGACTTTAGCCTTTAGCTATGAAAACTACTTTAAATCAGTCTCCAATCTGCTTTGATTCACGTTAAAATGCATTCTTCCCAAACAAAGGTCCTTTTGTGGTATTTTAAGGCTTTATTTTCTCATGTTTTTAAAAGTCGAGAGTGAGATCAACAACTCTTTGCTTATTCTAAACAAAAACTCCTTCAGATCTTCCGAATCACCCTCCTAAAATCCATGCACAGTGATTACTGTCATCTGATGTGATCGGAAGACAACTTCGAATAAACAAAACTGCATCATTGCTGCATCTACTGTTTCATGTGACTCCAGTGAATAATATCTGAGTATGACATCTGGTTGACGTTTATTAGCTGAATTCCTTTTTGTAGTTCCAAAATGTGCCTTGGAGCAAGTCACTTCAAGAATTGACCATGAAAATCTATGTGTATTAAATATATCGAGAATATTTTGTACAATATATAAAATATGCTGATTGTTTTCTTGTTGTTATGAACTATTTTTAAGCTGAAACATGTAAGACTAAAAAAAAACATTCAATATTTCCGGTCCATGAACACGTTTGGTCATAATGCCCCATTACATATCATCATTAACTTAAAATTAAAAACTGATTATGGATGTGTGTGCTTTCTCAGGAATGGGTCCGGTCCACATGAATGAGGTGGAGTGCTCTGGATTTGAGAAATCTCTCACTGACTGTTACTTCAATAACGATGCTCTGGGCTGCAGTCACGAGGAGGACGCTGCCGTACGCTGTAATATACCTGCCATGGGTTTCCAGAAGAGGGTGAGGACTCTTCCTACATACAGTATTCAGTTCTAACAATAGTTAGCCATTCACGAATCAGTAAGATTATGAAGCTATGGATACTTTTGGCTACTACAGATACGTCTAAGCGGAGGAAGAAACCCATACGAGGGACGTGTGGAGGTTCTGACTGAGAAGAACGGTTCTCTGATTTGGGGAACCGTTTGTAGTGAAAACTGGGGGATGATCGAGGCCATGGTGGTCTGCAGACAGCTGGGATTAGGCTTCGCCAGCCATGCGTTTCAGGTAAATCTACCCACTAAAGTGCTCTCTAATCTTTTCTGGCTGCAAAATTTCCAGAAATTCACCAGAAGAGGTCCATTGTCTGTTGTCAGCAGTGTAGAGATTTCAAGCCGAGCAGATTTCATCTAATGAAGGGCCGCTTTCAATAGTGCTGAACTATCCACAATGCATTGTTTCATGAATGAGTCATCATAGTGTTCGAATCACTCATGCGTATGAGACTATTTTGGGGTATCTGGTGTAGATGAAGGACTTTAATGAAGGCACATACACTATGTAATCAGTGTGGCGTCCCCATTTCATCCACCGCAAGTTTGCTGGATGCCATAACCCTATTAAATCCCATTCATTTCAATAATTAATATTTGAATGTGTGTGTAAGATCACACAGACTGTCTAGATCTGGACTAGAGATGGGTATTTAACAGCCCAGTGACAAACTCATGGTGATACAGGCCTGGAAACTATTAATGCATTAGAAAGGGTATGGAGGGAATAGCTTGATGGGCGGTTTTATGAGTGGAAATTGGAAAACCCTAAAGTGCTTCTGCAGGCTAATGCCATGATTAAGTGTTATTATGATGATTGACTGAAATTTGCCACTAGCTGAGGCATATGGCCGCATGTCAAGACATTATGGCTGTACTTGCTTCAACTTTGGACACATTGCAGTTAGATCTCCTGTCATGGTCATTATAAGTCCCTCCTGAAAAGGCTAGCGTAATGATTCATACAGGCTTATGCTAGTGTGTTGTTGGTTTAACTTGTGCCCTGTTTATAGAAACCGGCCTAAACTGATTTGTTGGTCTTATTTGGTCTCCCAGCTTGGTCAGGCTGATCTTTTTGCTGGTTTTTGAGTTTAGCTTAAACTAGTTAAGACCAACTTAAACCAGAAAACCAGCCTAGGCAGGTTTAATCTGTTTTTCAGCAGTGTAGACAAGCACAATGTAGCAAGTAAAGCTGTACAGCTATGATGTTCTTCCTGGTGAAGTGGTTGACCAAGCTTGACCAACTAGTCAATCTGAAGTCCAGTGGGGCCTTAATTTCTCAAATTAAATTGAGTTTAAAAAAAATAAATAAATAAAATGCTTGCTGTTCCACATATATTAGTGTTCAAAAGTTTGGGTTCACTGAGAATGATTGATTGATTTGTTTGTTTTAAAGACATTCATATTTTTCTTCATCAAGAACACATGTGAAAGAAATGTATACTTACAAAATATTTCTATTTCAAATAAAAGCTATCCTTTAGAACATTTTATTCATCAAAGAATCTTGTTTCCACAAAAATTATTAATCTCCACAACTGTTTTCAACATTGATAAGGATTATAAATGTTTTTTGAGCAGCAAATCAGCATATTAGAATGATTTCTGAACGATCGTGTGAGAATGAAGACTGGAGTAATGATGCTGAAAATCAGCTTTGCATCACAGGAATAAATTACATTTTAAAATATATTTAAATAGAAAACAGCTATTTTGAATTGTAATAATATTTCACAATATCCCTGTTTTTTTCTGTATTTTTGATAAAATAAATGCAGCCTAGAAGAGACTTAAAAGCGATTTAAACGATGCATTAATAGGGAAGTTTGTTCAGCGACGTGCTGTTGGTCACGTTTTCTGTTACCAAGCTCGAAAAGTGCAAGATACAACTTCCAGATGTCGGACTGGCCATTAAACATTTGTCCGACAGTCTGGACCGGTGGGTCTTTCCAGACAGCATGTGTGGAGGGTTTTACAATGGGGAGAGTTGAAGAAAGCACATGGAAAGTCTGACAGAATGTGCCCACATCCCCCTGCCCACGGCGGGAGTCCAGCAGGCTTATCTGTCAGAGGAGGCTGTGACTCAGCGCTGTGCAGTCTAAGACAAAACACATGGAAAACACACCATAATGCTTGATGATTACTCATCATGAACATATGTTTGTGCAGTCAAGAACACTGACAGAGACTTTCCCCATCTTGTGGGGTACAGCATGTCTTATGTTTCAGACCTCTAAACTTATGCAACAGCTGTAATCCTGAGAGCAGATGCTCAAATCACGTTCAGGAACATTCAGTCGATCTGGAAAACGTGATTAAACAGCCCTTGTTTGGTGAGAAGGTGTAATGACACCCGGATATCTGTCTTCTAGGTTTGCATCAGGGTTATTATAGTTAACTAAAACCATTATATATATATATATATATATATATATATATATATATACAGTATCTCAAAATACACCCCTCACATTTTTGTATAATTTCAAAAAGTTCAACTTTAATATATGGAGCGCAAGGTCTCTAACATCCACCAGCTCAGTGATGTCGTCAACATCAGTGGAAGAGGACTCCAGTGGCAACCTGTGAAGCTCTGGTGAACTCCATGCCCAAGAGGGTTAAGGCAGTGCTGGAAAATAATGGTGGCCACACAAAATATTGACACTTTGGGCCCAATTTGGACATTTTCACTTAGGGGTATACTCACTTTTGTGGCCAGCGGTTTAGACATTAATGGCTGTGTGTTGAGTTATTTTGAGGGGACAGCAAATTTACACTGTTATACAAGCTGCACACTCACTACTTTACATTGTAGCAAAGTGTCATTTCTTCAGTGTTGTCACATGAAAAGATATAATCAAATATTTACAAAAATGTGAGGGGTGTACTCACTTCTGTGAGATACTTTATATATAATTTTAATTTCAGCTAGTTCCCAAGAAAACATCTCATTTTCATTTAGTTTAACTTTGTTCTAAAATAATTAAAACTAAATCTGAAAAAAAAAAACTATATAGACATTAAAAAAACTATTAAAAATGACAAAAAAAAAACAAAACAACTATAATAATATATCATTGATACTAAAATGTTTTAATTCTGAGTCAAGTCCTTTCCGATGTGGTTGAAGAAACAAAATGAGCAAACAAGCACATTAAAGGTTTTCCAAATGTGTTATATTCCATACAATAGTTTTTTGATTTGAACTGAGTGAAATTGAAGTCTATAATCTAACTGAATCAGTAAACAAATCATTATTTTGAGCCGGCTCTTTTCAGTAAACCAATTGATTTGGTTCAGAAACCAGACATATTCTTTTACAAATTGCATTTTAACGCACTGACTCAATGAAGGTGCAAGAACCCCCCCCACACACACACACACAAGATAGACCATATATTATAAAAATGTGATTTAAATGAGAATGTGAATATATTGTGTGACTCTTAAATGACAGCAGTAATTTCTCTGAGAATCTCAGCAGCTCATGTGTAACGTGTGTTTGTATAGGAGACGTGGTACTGGGCTGGAGATGCAAGTGCAGACAATGTTGTGATGAGCGGAGTCAGATGCTCAGGAACTGAGATGAGTCTTCCTCAGTGTCTTCATCACGGCAAACACATCAACTGCCCCAGAGGAGGAGGACGCTTCGCTGCTGGGGTCTCCTGCTCTGATAGTGAGACAATCTCCTCTTACTGATTATCACACTCTTAAGAATAGTGATTTCATTCCTTGTTTTTTTTTTTATCATTAATGTAATAGTAGACTAAAAAGCAGGTCCAAAAGTATTGTAGTATCTCACAATGTAATGCACTCCACTTAACCTTTCATTTCCACTGTGATGTAATATTTGTTCAGTAATATTTCATTTAATATTTCATTTTTTTCTTAAAATCTAACTTTAAAAATATTTATTTAATATAATATTCTTTAGCATTTTCTTAACAAGAGATTTACATGTTTTTCTTGACTCATGTCAGGAGTTAATATGTACACAAAATTGTTGTTTAAAAATAAAAAAATTCTATAATGCAAACTATTCAAAAGTTTAAAACACTTGTATCCATTAAAATAATCAAAGTGACTTTTATAATGTTGCAAAAGATATCTATGTTCTTTTGAAATTTCTATTCATCAAAGAATCTTGAAAAACTATCACAATTTCACGATTTTAGAAAACAAAATCAGCATATTAGAATGATTTCTGAAGGATTGTGTGACTGAAGACTGGAGTAATGATGCTGAAAATTCAGCTTTGCATCACAGGAATTTTTTTTATATTTATAATACATTTAAAACAGAAAACAGTTGTTTTAAATTGTAATAATATTTTTGATCAAATAAATGCAGAATTGGTCAACATAAGAAACTTCTTTCAAAAACATAAAAAAAACTTACAAACCCCAAGTAAATTTTTTTTTTTATTTATTCATTTATTTATTTATTTTATTAATACACGGTAGTGTACTAATAAAAAAATTATAATAGGCATTATTTAGTGATTGTTTTTATGATTTGATTTTGTTGGGTATTTTGAAACTAAATTTAAGATGGGTTATCAGCCCCATGTTTTCTAACCTGACCTGGTTGTCTAGACTGATACGCATGGAGGAATTTGCTCTGTCTGACCTCTGACCTCTGATCTCAGCGGCTCCTGACCTGGTGCTGAACGCTCAGCTGGTGGAGCAGACCGCCTATCTGGAGGACCGGCCCATGTACGCTCTAGAGTGCGCCCTCGAGGAGAACTGCCTGTCCAGCACTGCCAAAAAGAACGACCACAGCTCCTACCGCCGCCTGCTCCGCTTCTCCTCCCAGATCCACAATGTTGGCCAATCTGATTTCAGACCCAAAATGGGTCACCACGCCTGGACCTGGCACGAGTGTCACAGGCAAGACCTTAGACCCCGCAGTAAACACCATAAAAACAAACACATATATGAAGACTCCAACATACTGTATGATCATTTGTGCCAATGTGACAATGTTTAAAGTCTCATATTATTGTTTTGTTGTGTCTCTGTGCAGGCATTATCACAGCATAGAAGTTTTTACCCATTATGATCTGCTGAGTCTGAACGGCACCAAGGTGGCAGAGGGTCACAAGGCCAGTTTCTGTCTAGAGGACACTCAGTGTGACGAGGGTGAGAACTGCTTATGGGATGGTCTGATACCATTAAAGTTCTAACACAAATTCAAGTCCATATGGCAAAAAAATACATTTTCAAAAAAAGTTTAAATGTATTTCAAAATATACAAAAAAATATGTTGGCTAAAATATGTTTAAAACTATATTTATGTAAATATATTTTCTACCAATATATATTTTTTGGCCATTTTTTTTCTTAAAAATATAAATATATATTTTGCCCTCCATATATTTCAATCCAAGAAAATACAATCACATGTCGAAAAACCTTTTGAAACATTTAACATATAAAACACATGTGAACATATAACAAATTTGAATAAAAATCAACAAGCGACATACTTTACAATGTTCAAAAAGACAATATAACAATATATAAATAATAATAATTAATAATCACTATAAATCAAATTTTAAACTTTAGTAGGCTATCCACATCCATATCCGCATCTGTAACATTGGAAATGTATTTTCTTGCCCCTGAAATACATTTTGAAATTTATTTTGGTATATGAAGTTTGAAACTGAAATTAAATTGAAAGATATTCTCAATAATATATATATATAAATACACACACACACACATATATATATATATATATATATATATATAGTGATATATATATATATCACTGAGCTTCACATCATATTGGCCAGAGAAATATATTTTTGTCATATCCACCTTATTTTTCCAGTAAGAGCAGGTGTGGCCATTTGTAAATGTTATGGGTCTGGCTTCCGGTCTCATCCGCATCCTGCAAATTCGTGTCAAATAGTGTAATTATGAACACACTGGTTTGTATTGCGAACAGTTTGATCGTTTATTGCATGTTGTTATTCTTCACGTTATTTCCATATAGTGGCTAATGAACCGGAAGTCTCACACATCAGCTTACTTTCTCATTGAAGAATAAAGTGGATAGGAGATGACAAATAAGAAAAATCCATCCATTTTAATGAAACATCAAAGATCTAATTGGATGTTTTCTTTGATCCAGGTATTCAGAAACGGTATCTTTGTGCCAACTTTGGTGAACAGGGCATCACCGTTGGCTGCTGGGACACCTACAGACATGACATTGATTGTCAGTGGATCGATATCACAGATGTGAAACCAGGAGACTATATTTTCCAGGTAGCATTTTAACTGAAGTGAAGGAAAAACGTTCAAACATAACATAAAACAAAAATCACTGTAGTATGTTTTTACAAGAAAATACTTTTTCAGTCTTTCTACTTTAAAGTTTCATTCACTGCTTTATTTACTAACAATTTCTGAGTGAAAATAATTTCTACACCATTTTTTTCAGTATAGATATCAGGAAATCTAATTTTACTGACATGATTCTGTCACACAGGTCGTAATTAATCCTAACTATGACGTAGCCGAATCAGATTATACCAACAATTTCATGAAGTGCAAGTGCCGCTATGATGGATACAGGATATGGACGTACCACTGCCATACAGGTGAGCTGAGAATAATTGAAGGTCTGCCGGCCGGGACATTTTAAAAGCCGTTAGAAGTGAATAATACAACCTCTACCCCTTTGCAGGTGGCTCGCGGAGTTCAGACATGGACGAATACCCTGGAATGAGCAATCGGTTGCACTTCAGATAGGAGCGGATGAGGACAAAGGCTCTCAGTGGAGGACGCTGCGGGCTGTCACTCAGACTATTCAAATATGATTGACCACTAGAGAGACTCCAGCACTTCGAAGGCAGAGACCGCTGCTCTTTTAGGTTTGAAGTACAGCATGTTCTTTCACGGTCCCCGCTATATCAAGCTTGCTTTGAATAGAAACTATTTAAATGTCTGAAATGTACTGTACTTGCTGCATTTTTGGTGCTTGAAATGCTTGTTTGTTGGTTGTAGTGGTCACAAACCCATGCTGTAACGTTCATACTGGGATCTTTATTACGTTTTCGATTCTTCCTGCATTATAACATAATCACAAAGCCTGCCGTTTCATGAACTCAACCCTATTTCTGGCTGTTAAAGACTCTTTTGTGGTTAATTCATCAAGCATGTCAAGTAATTTATTATGTTCCGTCAGGGAGACAAAGCCTGCCGTTTCATGAACTCAACCCTATTTCTGGCTGTTAAGACTCTTTTGTGGTTAATTCATCAAGCATGTCAAGTAATTTATTATGTTCCGTCAGGGATTATGTTTTGTCAACTTTTGTGTATGCAATGTGAAACTGTAACAATTTGTTTTTTTGGCCAATTTGTGAAGCATCTACCCTCCGTTTTATGAGGGTACTTATGACCAGTTCAATGGTTTTCAGATATGCAATGTGTTTATGACTGAACAACACGTTTGGTCAAACCATTGCGTTGTTTTCTATAATAAAAGCAATTCATGTTTGTTATTTGGAAGATGTTGTTTATGTTAACCAGACAACTAATGTTGTTCAATGGATAAAATGTGTGGAAACAAAGACGTGACACCAATCAAAACAACAACAAACAAAACATTTAATCAAAGCATAATAAAAAACAGGTTAAGGTATCAAACAATTTTAAAACATCAGAGCAGAAATAAGTATGAGTGTTTTTTTGAAACAAATCAACTCAGACAAATAAGTCAAATAGAATAACTAGAAAACAAATCAATCATGTAAAAACAGAATTATTCATATTTAGCATGCCAATAATACTACCGTATTTTAAACAATACAAATATATAGTATGCCAAAAATATAATTTAGGCTCCATTCCCATCTCAAATGAAACAAGCTGAACATGAAGACATGAATGCAACTGAGAAACAACAAGAACTTCCTATGATGCAAAGTCAAACACACGGTCTAGTTCATTTAATCCTTAGATTCAATGTTATGGTCCTGGATGACCCATTTTCAGGAAATCCAATGAGCAAAAGAGCTTATCTGTATTAAAAAAAGATTTAAGTTGATAAAAAGGATCTCTTTTATCATGGCTGGACCAAATGCTGGGCTTGTTAGTATGGAGAAACAGAGCAGGAGAAAAGCAGCAAGGCTGTTTCCTGCTAAAGACAAAAGAACAAAACTCACCCAGGAAATAATCACATGCTCACTTAACATACTATTGGCTTGTTTCCTAAAACAGTACAGAACTCAACAAATTAAAACTGGAAACTTGGGAGACCACATATATTTCATGTGCTGGAGAATTTCCACTTCCTCTGCAGCTAAAATAAAGCTTTACAGCGTCTTCATACCAAGTCTGGGTGGTGTAGTAGTTATTGTCATTTTCCCGGTGTAGTATTAACTGAAGTGAAAGACTGTCTGACTGTGATGAGGAACTTTATTTATTCATTTCAAAGCGTCTCCCCCTCAAGCCCAGCGCTCTGGTCACCATCCTGCGAGCCACCACTGTGTCCGTACGCGGCCTTTCCTTCACCGGCTGAATGAACTCTGTATGGATGACATATCATCATACTTGTTTAAATTCAGTATATTACAGACATTATACAGATCAGTGACATGGCGTTTGTATGAATCTATTAAAAATATAAAAGTATTAAAAATGTCAAACATACAATGACCTAAATACCTCTTCTGTGATGATCTGATATTAATTTCTCAATTGACCCTTCGCAAAAACCCGCCCCCCTTAGTTACTGTTGCTACACAACTGCGTCAATAAATCTCTTATAACATATGTAATATCAGATACTATAATTTGAACTTTTGGCAAGGCACTGTAAAATGTCATGTGGTGTTACAAAAGATTTCTATTTCAAATAAAAGCTGTTCTTTTCAACTTTATATTCAAAGAATCCGGGAAAAAATATCACATATTACAAAAAATTATTAATGTGCACAACTGTTTTCAACATTGCTAATAATAATAAATGTTTCTTGAGCCGCAAATCAGCATATTAGAATGATTTCTGAAGGATCATGTGACACTGAAGCCTGGAGTAATGATGCTGAAAATTCAGTTTTTGCATCACAGGAATAAATTACGCTTTAAAAAATATTCAAATAGAATAAATTGTTTTAATATTCAAATAGGGTAAGTTATTTTAAATTGTAATTGTTTTTTTTTTTTACAATATTACTGTTTTAACTGTATTTTTTTTTTAATAAATGCAGCCTTTAAATTATATGAAACCAACATTTACCAAAAAAGTACATTTTAAAAGACCTTCTCAGCTTTTTAAACCATTTTTTTTTATTGTGGACACTAATGCCTTCTAATGTGACTCCATCTTTCAGAAAAGAGTCTTTTCTGTGGCTTTCATACCTGCACGTCTGGCCGCTTTCCACTTTGCTTTCTGGCTCCCCTCCAGCAGTGCGCGGGTCTTCAGTATGGGATGTTTAATGGAGAGTGCCTGTGTAGCTGAACAGAGCCAAAAATGGGTTTGTCAAACATAAGAAAATAAATCATAATAATTCTTGATTCAAGAATGGAAAAAAATACTGCCTTATGAAAAGATACCTGCCAACTGACTTGAAAATACACCGAGAGCATGAGTGTTATCCACCCACTTGATCTTCATCCCCCCTTCACTGGAAACAGAAGCAGACAACTGTCACTTTGTAGATCTGTATCACTACTTTTTCTGTCACAATATAGAGGTGACTTATCACCTATAGTCAGCAAAGGCATCAAGGAGATCATCTGTTTTAAACATGGCAGGAAAGCTGTAGATCTCGATGATGTGGCCGAACTCCTGCGGGTCAAGCCAGATGTTTGCATAGGCGGGGAAATCACTGCAGGTGTTGAGTATGGTGATGTCCCCATGTTTGAGTTTGGCTTTGATCTAACGACCAAGAAGTATGAATGACAACGTGTGAGAACAGACAGAATAAAGTTGACGGTAAATATGGTAAGAGATGCGTTGGGTCTCATTCACTAACCGTGCGTACGAACGTTTTCATAATCAAGTCAGGATTCATCAATAGGTTTTGTACTAATATTTATTCTAAATTTACAAAAAGGTTTAGGAAAAGCTGAAACCACACATACACAAAATCACATACTCTGGGTAGCCTTATAAATGTGTAAAAATGAAATTTTACACATAGATATTTCATCTCTATACTACCATATTTTCCAGAATATAAATATAAGTCCTGTTAAATTATCATCTGAATGCGCTGCAACTTCTATAATGCAACATCAAGCAAGCAAAACATGACTTTTGGATTTGTGCTGAATAAGTGAGGTAGCCAAGTGAGACAAAGTTTTGTTTTTGCTTTAAATAAATGTGTTTAGGTTTGGCATTTATAGTAAATTTTGTTTATAATTAATGCCACTATGATATGTGTTTGTTTTATACTTCTACTTTTTATTTCTGTTCTGAATATCATTCAATTTAAAGGATTTATTGTGGAGTGAAAGAAACTAAATTACATGTTTATAGTGTTTGTTTTTGTCAATGTTTCGTATCATTTACTGTTATTTTACATTATTTCTGAATTTAATAATGAAATGTGACTTACACACTGATGCAACTTATCTGTTTTTTTTAATGATTTTGACCAGTGTTATTTTAGTATTGCGATACTATTATAGTTTTTAATTATATTTAGAAATTGTTTTTAATTTTATATAATTAACTCCTTTTAACTTTAAAGTTTTATTAATTTTGTTGTTTGGTTCATTTTTTTTTGTATAAGTCTGCTTAGTTTTTATTCATTTTTATTTAGAATTAGTACATAGTTAATTGTAATTTTTGTAATATTTCATATTTCAGTTAGCGATTATATAATTTTTTTAAGTGTCAATTTTTAGCTTTAGTTAACTATAGTAGCTACAGACAGATTCAACTTATTTTCCACACCTGGCATTACTTAAGAAGTGCTTTAGACAGCGTCACGTATGCTGAGAGTGATGTAAGGCTGTAGAGGAAAGTTGTACGGAAAGCTCTTACATGGAGATGGTTTGGGCGTTTTATTCAAATAACTAACCTTGGGCCCACGTTCACTCATTTAGAATACTCAAGATTCAATAACATTAGATCAAGGTCAAGAATAAATTCATGTGTCGTGAATCAGGTGGACATTCTCCTGTGCGTATAAATTCCAATAATCCATTATTAGTGAATGAGACCCACTAAATTAGGATACCTCAGAGAGCAAACTTTCATCAACGTCCTGCTGCTGGAGTGTGGCATCAGTGGGAAGGAACGTGTTGTTGGCACATTTTTCATCTGTTTCGTCATCTAACGTCAAAGAGGTGAAGAAAGACACAGTCTGGTCCCAGGCTGGAGGCCACGGTGACGGACCAGACCTTGAAAGCTGCACAAACTCCTCATCGCCCAGTGCCTGTCCAGTGCTGTCCACCTCTGGCTTCTGATTGGCTACAAGAGGTTCCTTAGTAACGTCAGAGCAGGATTCCACAGATGATTCCTTAAGATTTGGATGTTCCAGAACTATCTTATGTCTCATAGCACGCGGAACGTAAATAGCCTTTTCTGGCCGTCTGGCTCTCTGTCTGCTGTTGAAGCTGGGCTCCAGTGAGCGTGTGCTGCTGTTGTTCTCCATGACTCTGTCCCGACTGCGTGCTCGCCCATGGGAACTGCCCTCCACATCTCTCTGGTCTTCTTCTGGCAACCTGTCAGATGCACCACACACTGCTGGTTTACTTGCAAATTGTAGTTTGTTACTGATTCCAAATTGCATGACAAAAATTGTAGTTAGTAAAGTAATCCTTTACAATACACATTTTAGGTAATATAATCAGACTACTTTTTGATTATGTTTAGATTACTTTTGACCTAACTAATGTTTATCACATCGAATTTAAATTAGGGTTGCAACAAGGCAGAATTAGATAAATAATTTAAAATTTAAAATTAAAATCATTTTAAAATAACAACAATCAAATAAAACACTTACTAAAAAAATATGAAATATTTTATTCGTTTGCTTGTCGTGTCCATTAACCAACGAATGTGCAAATGTGTTAAATAACTTAAAATCTCAGGTGGTACTTCAAGTAAATATATTTTTGGCTCACAAAAGAAGAAATAACCTGATTTTTTTTTTCTTTCAATTTTACTGTGTTTGAAAGCCTTCCAAAGACATAGTAATACATGGTTAAATAACCCACTGAGTGATTATTCAAATAAAAATTAAGGTGTTCATTAGTAGTTGATGTAATGTTGAAACGCTGAAAAAAATTGAAATGGTCAGATGCTGTGTGCCCTCTCAGTTCTCTGTGTAATAATAGCCACCTGACTAGTGACTAGTCTTCGTGTGAATGTTTGCAAAACTGGAAGACTTTCTTAACGTATATAAGCGGTAGACTATTTAAGAAAATAAATCTTAAAAGATAAAAAAGAAGAATTAAGGAGATTCAATAAATTAGGAATAATTTATTGCTATTGTGTGAATAATATGTAATCAATAAAAAAGTAACTGTAGTCTGATTACGAGTATTTTAAAATCTAATTACAATTTCTTTATTTTTGGAACCACAATGATGAGACACTAAAACTCTGGCAGCTTTACCTGAGGTCTGAACAGCACACTACAACTCTGCGTGCGCAGCCCTCGCCCACGGAGAAGGTGCTGAGGTTGGGATGATTCGCGCAGGTTTGGTGAATCAGGAAGCGAAGTCGGCTCGGGACAGGTGGGAAGAGTAGAATGCTACAGATCAGAACATTTCAATTAGACAATATGGCAGGAAGCCCAAAGTACACATGCATAAGAGCCTGATATACATACATACATACATACACACACACACACTGTATATGCTATATGCAAAATTCATTGACACTATGTTAGGGTTGTTGTCAAGGCATTGCAGTTGCTAGGGTGTTCTGAGTGTTTCTAGCATGCTGCTATGCAATTGCTATGGGGGTTTGAGTGTTTTTTTTAATCTGTTGCTAAGTGGTTTTGAATGTTTTTAAGTGTTGTCATGCTGCTATGCCATTTAAGGGGTTCCAAGTGTTTTTAGTGTGATCATTTGAAGTTCCTAAGAGGTTTTTCAATGATTTTAGCATGATGCTATGTAGTTGCTATGGTGTTTTGAGTGTTGCCATGCAGTTTCTAGGGTATTTGAGCGATTTGGGCGTTGCTATGCTGTTTTGGGTGTTTTTAACATTCAGGCTGCTTTATGCATGTGGCTATGCTGTTGCATAGGGGGTTTTGTGTATTTTTAGCATGCTGCTATGTAATTGCCAAGGGGTTTTGAGTGTTTTAACATGTTGCTGTGCAGTTGCTAGGGTGTTCTGGGTGGGTGTTAATCAACCCAAGTGGTCCTCATGTCCCTGTATGACCATGAACTACTTGTTCAAGTATCTATCATGAGCAACAGTATTGTAAAACATTTCTAATAACGTTGGTGAATATTATTAAGGAAGGCTGCCAGTGTCCCTTCTTCAGATATGTGATGAAATGACCTTTTTTGCTCATTTCTCTGTTGAAACTCATCCAGCTCCTCGAGGACTGTATGGATGAATTCAGTCTCTTGTTTGGGGAGGTAACAGCCATTGACACAAGGAAGAGCCAGGGTGTTAGAGGACGACGACCTTTATCCACGGAGACTTAGAGGAGATACTTCAGTCTCTACACAGAAAAAAAGAAACATTATAGGGCGGATCAGAAACTTACAGGCCAAACGTCACATAACAGCAATATAAAGCTCTGCGCTTGTGTTCACTGCGGCAAACTAAAGGCAGATATTTTATCATTAATTCACATACAGCTTTCCAAAATAAAACCTAAAATTAAGGCACTTATTTTATTGTCGCCTGCTCAAGTATGAGTCAAATACAAACAACTAACTGTATATCAGGAGACTTGAATGACATTAAACATCTGAGCGTGAATCTAACCCATAACCGCTTGAATATTAGCAACTAGCTTAGCTTAGCACACCACTCTCATTCAATAACATTAAACGCATTTCAGGACGCGACTGGACAGTGGACAAATGAACTCATACCACTCTAAAGAGACATTTAAACACGAGTAAACCCCAGTTTAAACGACAACTCATGACAGCCGCAAACACCGCAACAACACTACATTTAACAGGCACCTCTGACGTCATGAAGATGTCCGGTGTGAAGGTTTTAGTCGCCTCTAGCGGTCAGGGGTGCAATTACAGTAGAGTCGTCATATTAACTCAAAATCTCTGGAGAGAAATTATTCATAATTTATTGATTCTATCTAATTATTCTTTTCCCCCCTTTTAAATTTTCCGTTTTAATTTCTACTGTGCGTCATATTTAATACAGTGAGTATAGCCATCTAAATGTCATGTAAATTAATTTGCGATCCATGCTTGTGAGGACAAAGCACCTTTCAGTCAGTTATTCCATATATATGAGACACATAATTACACAAGTTACTAAACACTGTCAATGTATAATTGACTAAAATATTTAAATCCTGAGAGAGTTTGACCATGTCATTGCTGTTTTCGTGTTTGTTTCTTCTGATGCAGGGATTCCCAATCATTTTGTCAGTCAAACTCATAGACTGTATGGTCAACCCCTTTGATTTAAAATATTTGAAGTCCTCTATGACTTGAAGTTACGGTTCTCTGATGTCAGTTAATGGTCAAGTGCAGGTAAACTAAACAAATAAAATACTTCAAATTTGGGTGTTTTATTTTGTTTTTATTTTAAAATCATTTCATTTCAATTAAAAAATGAATTAGTTATTAGCTTTTCATCAACTCATAAACCCCCTGCAGGAAACCACGGAGTAACTTAATCTTTATAACATTTCATAATGTTGATAAAAAAATGAATGGAATATATTTAACTTTTTTTAATAAAAAATATTTTTATAGCAAAAAAATCTAAATCTTTAAACAAGTTAGGTCAAAAGTAATTGAAAAGTAACCCAAGTCAGAATACATGACCTAAAATCAGTAATCTAGCTTACATTACTAGTTTTCATCATGCAATTTCAGATTACAGTCGACAATTTGTAAGTAATCTACCCAGCACTCTTGTGTGTGTGTGTATATTAGTGCTGTCAAATGATTAATTGCGATTAATCACATCCAAAATAAATGCTTTTGTTTACATAATATGTGTGTACTGTGTATATTTATTATACATTTATAAACACAAACATACATGTATGCATTTAAGAAAAATGTTTTGTTTATATAGTTACGTTATATAATATAATACAAATGATATATGAATATATCCACGTAAATATTTTATTTTTTACAATATATACACATGTATGTTTGTGTATTTATATATATATATAATAAATATACACAGTACACACATACAGTGGGTACGGAAAGTATTCAGACCCCCTTAAATTTTTCACTCTTTGTTATATTGCAGCCATTTGCTAAAATCATTTAAGTTAATTTTTTTTCCTCCC